GTTACAAATTGCTTCTTGCCACAGTGCCCCAGGAAATGAAGAGCAACACCTCTGATCCTGAGATCAAAGTCCTGGAAGAGACTGAGGCCCCAGACCCAGACCCTCCTGCCCGGGATGAGCTGGGTAGGACTTTAGATGGCACAGAGGAGCCACCTGAACATTGTCCTGAGAAAGAAGATGTCAGTGCACTCTCTAAAGTCATTTCCAACAAGTGTGATGGAATTTGTGATTTTCCTGAGTCTTCCCAGGACTCCCTTGCAGGCACCCCCCAACAGGCCCAGCCAGACTCTGTGCTAGGTGAGCCCTCCAGATCTGCTCCAGGTCACAGTCTGGGCACCCTTTGCAACCCACCGAGTGCTACCTGCCAAACTCCTCCAGACCCAAGCACTGACTTTCTCAACCATGATCCCCCAGGGTCTGTGGCAAGCATCTCCCACCAGGAACGGCCCAGTTCTGTACCAGACCTGATTCATGGGGAGGAAGACACTGGCAAAAGAGGGAATAATAGGAATGGGCACTTACTGGAAAACCCTCGTTTTGGGAAAGTGCCATTGGAACTGGCCCGAAAGCCAATTTCTCAGAGCCAGATCAGTGAGTTCTCTTTTTTAGGGTCCAACTGGGACAGCTTTCAGGGGATGGTGACTTCACTCCCAAGTGGGGAGACCACTCCTCGGCGGCTGCTTTCCTATGGCTGTTGTAGTAAGAGGTCGAACAGTAAGCAGATGCGGGCAACTGGGCCCTGCTTTGGGGGCCAGTGGGCTCAGAGAGAAGGGGTGAAGTCACCTCTCTGTTCTAGTCATTCCAATGGACACTGTACTGGTCCAGGAGGAAAAAACAACCGGTTATGGTTGTCAGGTCACCCAAAGCAGGTCTCCAGCACAAAGCCTGTTCCACTGAGCTGCCCTTCTCCAGTGCCTCCTCTCTACCTGGATGACGATGGACTCCCCTTTCCCACGGATGTGATCCAGCATAGATTACGGCAAATTGAAGCAGGGTACAAGCAAGAGGTGGAGCAACTACGTCGACAGGTGCGTGAGCTGCAGATGAGGCTGGACATCCGTCACTGCTGTGCACCTCCTGCAGAGCCTCCCATGGACTATGAGGATGATTTTGTAAGTATTCGCCTTCTGCCATCCATGCATCCATTTATTCTATCCATTAGCCTTCCATCCATTCAACATTCATTCACTGGGTACTTGCTGTGTGCCACTATGTTTGGTGGATGGGCTGCGGGATGAAAGACATACATAGTCCCTGCTCTCAAGGAGCTCACAGTCTATTGGGAGAGACAAACAATTAGGATGCTTTTTTTTTTATGTTCTTATGTATTATATTTGAGGGAAGCTTCAGGTGTTAGGGGCCAGGGTGGAGTGAAAGGTCAGGGAAGGCTTTCCTGAGAAGATAGTGGTTGAGCTGAGTGCTGAAGAATGTGTCATGTTTAGCTAGGTAGACAGTGAAAGGGAAATACCATTTGCAGAAGTATGGAGGCAATAGATGTCCAGTGGTATGGCTTGAACAAAGGGTCAGTTGCATGCGTGCGTGCGTGTGTGTTTGTGTGTGTGTGTGTGTGTATAGGTACATGTACACCTGTGCTGGAACTGTGAGGGAGGCAGTTGGGTAGTGTGGTGGGAGGTGATATTGGAGAAGTTGACAGGGACTGGAAAGGTCGGCTTGAGTTCCACTTTTTGGATTCTGTCCTCAAGACAATAACATTTTTAGCCACTGAGTAACATGATCAGGTTTGTATTTGAAGAATACTACCCTATAGCAGTATTGTATCAAGTACACAAGGCAGCTGAAACCCAGGCTGGGAGGCTGGTTAGGATGTTTTGGGATAATCCAGGTGAGATGATGAGGACCATATAGGCTTCGCTGTGTTGACAGGCCTGAGGGTCTGGCACAGCAGTCCTTCAGGAACTTCTAGGAGTCAGCTTCTTGCCTATAATATCTTGTTATCTACACAGGCACTTCACTTCCTCATGTTATTAATAAGGCATACCCACTTGCCTGCTGCCCACTTGCTAAGATGGGATGGTCAGGGCTAATAGCTTCTCACTACTCAGTATGATGATTTAGAACAGGAGTCTTCAAACTTTTCTGATAAAGGGCCAGATAGTAAATGCTTTAGGCTTTATGAAACATATAGTCTCTGTTGCAGCTACTTGGCAGAAGCAGCCAGACAATATGTAAATAAGTAAGTGTGGCTGTCTTCCAATAAAACTTGATTTACAGAAATAGGCAGTAGGTTAGATTTGGCCTGTGGGCTATAGTTTGCAAACCCCAGGTTTAGATGTAACAAATATTTTTCCCACACTGTGCTATAAAATACTGGTTAAGAACATGGGTCTGAAGCCAGAACGCTAGGTTCAAATCCCTGGGTTACTACCTATCAGCTCTTAACTTTCTCTGTGGTGCTGTTTCCTTATTTGTAAAATGGGGATAATAATCATATACATCATAAGATTGTTGTGAGAAATTAAAGTTGTCATATGTAATGCACTTAGAACAGTACGTGACGTATAGTAAACAATTAATGTTAGAGATGATGATGATATTGATGTCTTTGCCTTTTCTTTAGACGTGTTTGAAGGAGTCAGATGGCAGTGACACAGAAGATTTTGGCTCCGATCACAGTGAAGACTGCCTTTCAGAAGCAAGCTGGGAACCTGTTGATAAGAAAGAGACTGAGGTATGTCCCGGCAAATATGTGGTAGGTACTTAGCACGCCACTGAGTTCTCCTATTTCTCAGAGATGAGAGACGTGCTGTAGACCGTGCTCTTCCCCAGATGAGTATCTTCTTTTTAGGAGAGTAATGGCCAACTATAAAGATAGGCCTTGCTGTTTTCTTGTGGGATGCTCTCCTTGTTGCAGTGTTGCTCTTTCACTGTGTGGACAAGGACCTGGAATTTTTCCTTGTCTCTTCCGTTAGGTGACTCGTTGGGTTCCAGACCATATGGCATCACATTGCTACAACTGTGACTCTGAATTCTGGTTGGCCAAACGAAGACACCATTGCAGGTAAGATGTTTTCTGTGATTTGATATGGCTCGAAAAGCAGTGAGGTACCTATATGTGAACGAAATTGAATTAATACGAAAGGGGAGACAGCTTTATAGGAACTATTTTTGTTTGCGCCCAACTTTTTTCTTTATTTACTCATGTAAGGCCTTTTAGAGTATCATTCAATCTCAGTATATTGACATTTCTGATGAACTCTTCCCTCTTTGTGCTTTGGCAGAAATTGTGGGAATGTATTTTGTGCTGGCTGCTGCCACCTGAAGTTGCCCATTCCTGATCAACAACTCTATGACCCAGTCCTCGTCTGTAACTCATGTTACGAACACATCCAAGTATCTCGTGCCAGGGAACTCATGAGCCAACATCTGAAGAAACCCATTGCTACAGCTTCCAGTTGAATGCCAGAGGAGATGACCTGTCTAATTATAGCAGGTTTGAAGGGAGGATCTGCTTCAGGTGTAGTTTTGAAGGTTCTTTGGTGTGGCTCATGAAATCACAGAGCTCAAAGATACCGTCTTAAGAAATCCTCGGTATCGTGAGATTGGAGCAAAGGAATTCCAATTTGACAGGAGGTCCTCTACGGGTGATATCCTCACCTTGGGTAATGGTCCTGATCCAGACCCAGAGTCTGGAAGCTAAATGTTGAGTTGGTGACTCCAGCTTCTTTCTCCTGGGGGGTCACAAGATGATGATTTCATAGATACTGCCTGGTGATGTGTGCCCCAAACAGCAATAGAAAGGCATATGTATAACCAAACTCCAAGTGATAACCAGATCCATCTCTCCTCCACCATGAAAAAAAGCTGATTATAGTATATAAGATAGGAATTCCTATCGTATTTGAAATGAACTATACCCTGTACCTCTGTGCTCTGTGTCTGTGCATGAAGGCTCAGTCTTTAGAGGCACTCCCTCTAGTTGCATTAGTTGTCTTTCTGTGGAGTTTGGTTTGAAAGACTGGTTCAGCAAGTGGAGGTTTTGCTGTATTTTTCACTTGGCTCACTGGCCAGCATCAGTGAATATTCAGTTTAGGGGGACAGTTATAGGGAGTGAGACATTTTTGGGAGCAGAGGAAAACTCTGCTGATATTCAGTCCTGGCAAAAAATCAGTTATTTTGAGCTGTGAAGGCAGTAATCTGTGTTACTAGGTGACAGCTCTTGAGGTATGCACTGTGAAGAATGAGAAAGGAAAAGCAGAAATTATCCTTGTGAAATATTTGCTGATTGTGCCCTACCCTTTGCACCTGACTTCTCCTAGTTGTCCTGGTGCTAACACAGGAGCTACACTTTGATCCTCTCCTGGCATGAAAATAAAACCATGGTTTTTTTTGTTATTGTTGTCGTTCCATTGCCCACTTCCCTCATGTTGTCTTTCCCTTGGCTGCTGCCTCCTCTGGGTCACACTGCTTCTTATCCTGAACACTTGACACCTTGAGGGTAGAATTTAGTGTTTGGTTTTTACCTCCTAGAATATGCTGTTTGGTATGTGAGGGTTTCAGTACAAATGCTGCTGTCTATTTCTGTGCACTTAACAATGGAACCCAAACAGAAGAGAATAAAGCCTTGATACCAAAATTGGGAGAGAAAATGTGTCCATTTGGACCAAACATTGTTTTTTTGTTTTGTTTTGTTTTTTTTTTTTCATCTTAATATGTACCAGTGGCACTTAACCAAAAGATACAGTGATATAGCCATGTACTGTGGTTGGGACAGATACAGTCTCCTTGCCCTATAATGAAACCACTAGGATTTCTTTTATACATTTTCCTTAATTTGTTGGTGTATAACAGGTAAATTACACTTGGGCTTATCCTGTTTTAAAACTACCATGGTAGCTGTCTAACTGCTACTTTCATGTTGCTTCCTAGAAAAAATTTTTTTAATTCAAAAATAACTAGGATCTTCATTTAGAACAAGAATTGTATTTGTCCTGACCTTTTCTTCAATCCTACAGAGAAGCATCTGTGCTTTTATACTTACCATGGATGTAACCTAAAAAGTTTTGGCATATTTAGGTCAGTCTAGCCGAACTCTTTTTCGTTTAAATGGAGTTAAATAATAGTGATTTTGTGTCTGGGAAATTCCTGAGATCATTGAAAAAGTAACAAACTACCCCTTGTCTCTGACACGTAAAATTCTTCTAAGCATTCTCTCAATCATTAAAATTGACTGCCAGTTGTGAGTGGCTTTTTAATTAACTTGACTTTCATTGCACTTCACTCTGCCCATTTTTAGGAGGAGTAAGATTGGTAACATTTGAGGGGACTGTATCTGTCTATTTTGTATGGCTGTTTTGAGGGACTTTCCCATCAGTGAACATACTGCATGGCCTTGGAGAGAGAGACTCTGGGCTGTCGCCTCAGATATATTCATTAAATACTCCTTTCAGAGCTCTTGTGGGTGTAAGTGACATGATGTGGCCAAAAATCCAAACTGTGCAGTTGCGTTGTGACAAACATGCAATGTGCTGTAAAAACTCAATACAGTTTAAATAAAATCTCTATATTAGTGCTGCTTTGTTGGGTCTTTTTATTCACCTTAATTTCTAAGAAAACCTAATGCGTACTCTTTGACCATGAGAGAGCACTCCCTTCCTCCCAGCCATTCCCATTTTTTTATGGACCTCTCTTTTTATCAGCACAGCTCTTGTTTTATTCTTATTTATTGATCGGATAGGGAGTTCTCCTTAGGGATACTGTAGACTTCTATCCCTTCTCATGTGAGGTTTATTTCTCTTTAAGGTCTGCAGTTTCACCAGCAGGTTGATCAGGCACACAGGATTGTGCCTGTATTCTCCTGATTCCCCTCTTCAATGGCACCTCAGTTCTCATCCCACTTTGATTGTCCTGAGCAAAACCTTGGCTTAAAAGAGTATACTTAAAATATATAAAATGCTATCTAAAAGGTGAATTTTTTTTTACTCAGGATACTACCTCACCATCAACATTTTCATTTGGAGAGAGGAGCAATTCAACT